TGTGCATGGGAGCAGGTAAGAAAAGTCACAATAATAGATGAGTTGGAGCTGTACTGAAATACAATATAGCTTCATTTGAGTCAGAAATCATCTTTCTTTTGGTGTTGAGACAGCTTCTGAACACTATAAATGTCTCTTGTTTGTGTTTTTATTAGGTTATTTCTATGAAATGGTACCCATAAATTCTGTCAACTTTCACTTAAATGTTTGGGGTATATTAAAGTTGCCTATTTTCTTTCTTCAGCATGAACTGAAGGTCATTAATAACAGTTTAATGGTAGCTATTTCCTTAAAGTAAGGCATCACCTAGTTACAGTAGATTTGGACTGGCTTTCTATATGGGCCAGTAAGACTTTTTTGCTTGCCTTTTTTTTTCTTTTTTTTTTTTTTTTAACATTATTTCCATTGTCTGAACAGAATTGTGCAAGCTTTATTGTCTCTTAGACCAGTTTTGATCAGTTTCAAGAAAATGCAGCAGTGCAGGCAGCAGTCCTCATCTGGCTAAGAGAGGCTGGTGATACACGGACTGTTTTGATAACTGGTACCTGCCATTAATAATTGCTTTGGCTGGGCTCTTTTGCTAATGCTAAATATTCCAAATGTGCATTATTTAAATACTTTGCAAACACCATCCAGCTATTGTTGAACTCAGAATTAGATTAAGGTCCTGGTAAATTAGGCTTGACTTTCATCAGAAAGCTTTACCATCATATTCTCTTTGAAGGGAAAGATCTGTGGGTTTGTATTGTGGGTATAACTCTGTGCACAGCCTGTGATGTGCTGCTCTCAGAGTACAGGTGTGTACACAGATATCTTACTCGATGCTGGAAAGACTTCTGGACTAGTTAGGGGTAGTCACTGATGTCTCCTTTAGTATCTATGGTGCCAGCTGGCTCATGCAGCTTGAAAGAGAACCCACCCTCTCATTCACTGGGCATGGGGAAGATTGTGCCATGGAACTGTGGGACTTCTTAAGGTGCCTTGATCTATCAGTTTGCCATATCGTTGGGTGAAAGCAATGTCCCTACTTATTCACTGCTATTTTTATCTTGCTCCAAAGTCAGGTTAAGATAAAATTTAACTGTTCATGTGTAAGTCAAATCAGACAACAATTATAAAATCCTGATAAGACAAATAGGAAAAAAAAAAATTAATCTGATTACATTAAGGTTATAGCAGGGTTTGTATTTTTCCCCCAAATTGAGGATATTTCCTGTTGTTTTCCAGCAAAATGGCAGTTGGAGTTTGTCTTTAGTATTTAACTATAGCAGTCTGTACATTAAAAATGTATTTGTCCTATTCCTATAGTTGGAAGTACCTCACTGCTATTTGAGACCAGATGCAAAGTGCTAATAGGATTTGTATAATCAGTCCCCATTCTTTTTCTCCTACTTACACTGTAGTATAAACGTGTTACTGCTTTTCCTCCTTATAGTTTATTCCTCCTCTCTGGCAAGTGAATTCTGTCATGCTTCGTAATTACATTAGTTTTTGGAACAGCTCTAATGTTATACCTATGTAAATAAAGAGGTACCAGCAGAATTGAAATGTGTTGGACTGTCTACTCCTTTTTCCTTGCCTAAGCAATCTCCTCCCTCCAGGGTCTCCACCTGATGCATTTATTCTCTCATCCTGACTCCCAGTCATATTCTTCAGGCTATTTGTCAAGCTCTGTTTCCCTGATGGCTTACCTTGAACTTCTTAATTCCTTCTTTTTTCCTCTTAAGACTGTATCTTTCTTTCTCTCCCTCCGTAAAAAGGGCTGGTTATCTGCATCCCGTCTTCTTTCTTGAATGTCTTTCCTTATGCTTCCACTTCCATTCTTAATCTGAGCTCTTCGTCCAACTTTCACGTTCCCTACAAAGCTGCTCAATGTTTTCCTTCTCATCACAATGCCATGGCCTAACAAGCTCCAGCTCTCTCCTGTTGTCAGACCTGCTGGATTTCTTAGAACAGTAGAGGTGAGGGTCAGGTGCTTGTCAGGGAAGCCTGTGCTGCAAACTAGAGAAAGCTGAGGGTGCCTGGAGCTGGGCTGGAACCTGAAAGTCAGCCAGGCACGTTTCTTCATGTGAAGCGTTGCATTGCTTTAGTTGGTGGAGAACAAGTAGATGCAACTTTCACATGCCAAGGTGCTGGCACTGGAATATAACACGTCATTAATGAGGACAGAAACTTGAGAGATTTAATTTTTTTTATTATTCTTTTTTTCTCTGGGTGCTTGTGTCTTGCACTAATATTTGCATTAAAGGAACTTACTTTGCTGATGTTTATAAGATTTGACAAATATATGTAGGCTTGCTTTCAATTACAGAACTAAATGCTTCTAAGCTGCAGTACTAGATGCAAATTAGAAAAAACAGATCTGTAATCTAAGTGATTTCACCAGCGATGTTAAAAGCTATTTATTTGCATTAGAATTGTTAAATGCCTTCCTATGACAAAATGCTGGTTTAAAAATGGGGATAGTATTTATGTGTCTGACAGTCTCATGATTAAACACATGGATTGTACTATGCCTCTCCAAATTAAAATGAATACAAATGCAAATCAATATTCTGTTTTGCAATTTGGTCTCTTCCAGCTGGATTAGAAATTAATTGTTGTGCTTGATGGGAGAGAGGAAGTTGTTATGAAACAAAACATCGATTTGTATTAACATTTTACCCACTGCTGAGAAAAACAGTATGCTAAGGGCCAAGTTTGGTAAAAGGTAAATACTAAATAGCTGTGAGCAGATTAAAATTACTTAATTTAAATACAAAAGTGAATTTTTTCCCAGCACCTCTGGAAGCTTATTACACAAATCCAGTTCATGATATGCATTACTATTTGTTACTGACTCGACTTTACTTTTTGGTGCTCTTAGGTTTAAACCAGTCACTTCCATGTGTGATCGTTGTAATGAAGTACTAAGCATTTTCCTGTGTGAAATAACTGTATGTTAACCAGTATCAGAGACAAGAGAGGATGTAAGTGAATAGAATATTTCAGTTGGGAGGGACCTACAAGGATCACTGAGTCCAACTGCCACACAGTTTGCTTTGCTCTTGAACATTATTTTACAGAAAGCGAGAGTATTTAACTTGTGACCTGTGAAACCTCTGTAGTTCTGCATGTGCAGCTGATGTATTATTTAAAGATTTTAAGATAGTACATAGGTCCAAGCTATTAATCTATTAGTGCATGTCATTAATCTATTACTAATACTGTACCATACCTGTTGCTAGGAGACTAAGCTTCTGACAAATTTGGCATCATCTGTTGTCAGTACGTTTAATCAGCTTATTTTCAAATGTGAGGAAATGAAATGAGTGGAGCGCCATGCTTTGCTTTGTAAGTCCATTGACTTTCAGGAAGCAAATTCTGTAATGAAATGTTATTGTTTTCAGCTTTTTTTAATGCAAAATGTTCTAAATAGCAGATACCTGTCATTTTCATCTCTGCTTTCTTGGGAGTATGTTCCAGCTAATCCATGTCATCTGGAACAAGTTATTTTACCTTAGTAGAGAGTTGGCAAGATAACGCTGACAGTTTTCACAGGGAAAGAATAAGTAATTTGGCAGAATTGTTAGGAAGAAGCAAGGTGTGGCATGTTGAACTTCCATCATCCAAATTATGTGGAAATTTTTTATTGCATTGTCAGAAGATACAGACGGCCTCTGAGCACTGTCTACCTTTGCTATTTAAAGTCAGTAGGTTGGAGTACTTACTTTACCCATCTACAAAGCTTTTTAAACAAATAGCTGCCATGTTTCATCTGACTCTAGATGAATGATCATCATTGCTTGAATTTCCTACCCTTCCCATAGGTCAAATTGTACATAATTTTAAAAAAAGGTAAAATGTTTACACTTACAATTTGCTGGAATGAGATTTTACTGGTATCTAAAATGGTTAAGGTTCTTCATGAGACTTCACTTGGATAACGCTTATGATCAAAACCACATAGAGCAGGTGGGTACACGATAAGGATCTCTCATGGACTTTTTTTTTTAAATTCGTTTTAACTTTCTGCTCTAAAATAGTTTGTATAGTGTGTTCCTGCTATTCATGTCAACTTCTGCAATTTTCTGAGTTTTCTTAAGTATTTTAAATTTAGTGATATCTTTTGGTAGTAAATTCCGTAAGCTGTGTTGTGCTTAACAAGGAGTATTTCATTTTTATCTTTTGTCCTGTTACTAGTGAAGAAGGTGCCCTGCACTATATTCTTGTTGATAACTGTACCGTGTGATGTAGTGAGGGACTGCTGAGCTAACAGCTCCTTGTTAGCACCGTTCTGTATGCAAGGAGTATCTGCCCTGTGGCTGTTTACCACTGTGGGAAGCAGTTCTGGATGTGAACTATGATGAGTGTAATTTATTCTAAAACTGGTGATATATCTGCAACAGGCACTGTATAGAATCCACTTGTGCCCCATGCATGCCAGACAGATTTGGAGCAGTGGTAGCTGGTAAGAATTTGCCTGTACCAGCAGTGTCTTTTTGCTGTACTACGGAAGGTTTAAGGATTGAATCATTCATCAGTTCCTGCCATAAGCAAAATTCTGACTGTCGTTGATTCTGCAGTAACAGAGAAGGGGCAGCATCGTGTAATCCATGTGGACAGCTTGGCAGTATTACAGCTGAAGAAAGGTGTCAGATCAAAAATTAAAGAAATGTTAAATAAAAGCTAGTTTATT